GTGAGAAACTTTCAAGAAACCAAAATAAAACGTCTTGTTGTTGGAGGCTGCTTGTTCATTTCATAGCCACCAACAGTCTCAAAATAATCACACAGAAACTATATTATTTATGATACTGTTTGGCCAATAGCTTAAGCATATTGCTACCTAGCTCTTAAATCTAGAATTAACCCTTTCCATTATTCTATTTTATCATGAGGCTCATGGCCTACCAGCAAGGTTCCAGCTGGCAGCTCACATCTTTCCCCTCTGGCAGCTAAATGGCATCTCACTACTCTGCCTTCTTTTCCCCAGCATTCAGTCTAGTTTTCCCCGCCTAGCTCTACTCTGCCCTGTCATAGGCCAAGCTAACTTCTTTATTCATTAACCAATAAAAGCAACACATATACAGAAGGACTTCCCACACCATCTTGTGACCTTAGGCAAGACTCTTGTGACCTCAGTTACTTCAAAAACACAGAATTTTTCTTGGAATATGTTTTCATGCCCCTTCCAGGTATAATGGATAGAAGTGAATTTACTTCAGATTATTCATTGTAACTGCTTATAGTTGTTTCTTTGTTTCTATAGGAAAACATTATCTTTCCATGTGATTGTATAGTTTTCTTGTGATTGTATACTTTACTAATGTGACTCTACTTAACCCTTAGGGTATAAATTGATGCTCTGAGTATTATTATAATTATGTTATATTATAATAATCTCTTGTATTAGAATTTAGTCTGCCTCATTTTTAGGCTCTATTCTCCCAGGTTCTACCACCAATTACAGTGATAAACAAGTGGCCCCATGAGAAGCTACCTGAAGTTGGCAAGAGATAAGAGAGTAGTGTGGTGGTTTGAATTGAGCTGACCCTCACAAGCTCACAGGGAGTAGCATTATTGTAAGGTGTGGCCTTGTTGGTGGAAATGTGTCCCTGGGTGCACACTTTGAGGTCTCAGATTCTTAAGCCATAGCCAGTGTAGCATTCTCTTTCTTCTGCCTGCTGATCCGGGTTTCGAACTCTCATCTTTTTTTCTAGCACCATGTCTACTTGCACACTGTCATACTCCCCACCTGGATGATATGGTAAGCCGCCCCAATTAAATGTTTCCCCTCATAAGAGTTGCTATGGTTATGGTGTCTTTTCAAAGCAACAGAAAATCTAAGTAAGGCAAGTTGCAATCCTCATTGAAAAGGTGATTGAGAATAATGGGGTAGAAACCAGAGATGGCTTTGCCTTATGTTGAGCTTATGCATTATATCTTAAAGAAAAGGGGAGCTCAAGTATCAAAATCATAGGTATTAGATTGCTTGCAATTATTTTTCTTTATAATTCCTGGATTCTTGAAGAAAGAACTTTAGATAAAGAAAACGGGACTGAGTCCAAAAGAATATTGAAAAAACACATATAAACAAAGGGAAAATATTCTTGTTCAATTTGGGGTAACTTGGGCATTAATTGAGACTTATCAAAATACTTAAAGAAGATAAGGAAGATATTAATCACGATGAAGAGATGGATTATTCTTTGAATGAATAGAAGCTAGATGATCAAATCTTAGAGTTGGTTAAAAAAAAGAAAAAGAGGGAATTAGAGGAGTGAAGGGAGGGGAAACTTCAGCCAGGATGTACAATAAATAAATACATCAAATAAAAAAATTGTATCCCATTGAGGAAAATTGAAAAGAAATTGAGAAGTTTTGAAATGGATGTGACCTACAAAAGTTAAATCAAGACATAAAGTAAATAATTGAAGCAGACCCAAAACAATCAATGATATATAAGCAATAATTAATAATTTCCCAATTAAAAGATTTCCCAGGGCCACATGAGTTTAGCAGAGAATTCTACAGATGCCCTGAAAGGTGGGATTGGAAAGATGGCTCAGATGTCAAGAGGACACTTGTGTGATACCCAGGACCTCTGCAGCAGTTCACAGCTATTTGTAGCTCCAGTTCCAGAGATCTAAGGTCCTCTTGAAGCACTGCATGTGTACCTGGTGCATTCAAAGTTCACAAGAGGACATGGAATCTCTGGAACTCTGCTCCCCCCCCCTTTTATTTAGACTGTGCTTTGCAATGCAGTATGAGGAATAAGTTCCCAAGAGCCAGCCTAACATTAGAAACAGCCTCTACTCCTATTGTTAAGAGTCCAACAAATAGAACTAACTCTTGTAGACCAGGGTAGCCTTGAACTCACAGAGATCTGACTGCATCTGCCTCCCAAGTGCTGGGATTAAAGGCATGTGCCACCACTGCCCAACTAGTACCACGTTTTTTGTTTTTAAATTTTTTTATAATTTATTTAACTTTATTTTATGTCATTCCTTCTGGAACTGGAGTTACAGACAGTTGTTAGCTTTCATATGGGTGCTGGGATTTGAACCTGGGTCATCTGGAAGAGCAGTTAGTGCTCTTTACCATTGAGCCATCTCTCCAGCCCAAGTACCACATTTTTGTTTGTTTGATTGTCTGTTTTGATTTGATTTTTTTTCTTTGGTTTTTCGAGGCAGGGTTTCTCTGTAGCTTTGGAGCCTGTCCTGGAAGTAGCTCTTGTAGACCAGGCTGCCCTCGAACTCACAGAGATCTGCCTGCCTCTGCTTCCCGAGAGCTGGGGTTAAAGGCGTGTGCCATCATTGCCCGGTTTAGTACCACATTTTCTTTATTCATTCTTCAGTTGAGGGGAAGTTAGGTTGTTCAGGTTCTGGCTATTACAAATAATACTGCTGTGAAAATAGCTGATCAAGTGTCCTTGTGGTACGATTGAGCGAACTTTGGATATATTCCTAAAAGTGATGTCACTGAGTCTCGAGGCAGATCGATACCCAATTTTCTGAGAAACTGCCATATTGATTTCTAAAATGGCTATACAAGTTTGCACTCCCACCAGTAGTGGAGGAATGTTCCCTTTCTGCAGATCCTCTATTTTAGAGTTATGCTTTATGTTTCTCTGTGTTCTCAGTGATGTTCTATTGGAACATCTCCTCTTTCACTAATTATATTAATTTGGCTCTTATCTCACTTTCCTTTGGTGAATTTGGATAAAGATTTGTGTCTTCATTTGTTTCTCATTGGGAGGAAAGGGTTTATTTCAGTTTACAACTTATATAGTTCATCATAAAGGAAAGGCAGCATCAACCATTTATCATAAATATGACACATATTACATACAGACCAATCTTTTGGAGGAATTTTCTCACTTGAGGTTTTCCATTCCCAGATAACTCTAGGTTGTATCAAGTAGACAAAAGAAAAAAATACTAAGCAGTTCAGCTGGACAGCCATGGCCCATACCAATAATTTCAGGACTTGGGAGACAGAGGCAGATCATTCGTTGTTGGAGGCCAACTTGTTCTACAGAGAGAGTTTCAGAATAACCAGTGCTACACAGAGAGACCCTGTCTTGAAAAAACACAAAGAAGCAAAACAAAACAAAACAAAAAAACCTAAGCAGTACAATTTGTCAACCTTGTTGATGATTTCAAAGACCGGAATCATCATTTTATTGATTCTTTGTGTTGTTTTTGGTATTGTTGTGGTTCCTATGTCATTAATTTCAGCCTTGATTTTGATCATGCCTTCCAATCTGTCACTTTCAGGTGTTACTTGTGCTTGTTTTTCTTAGGCCTCAGGTCCATTATTAATTATTAATTTGAGATAGCGCAAATGTTTTGGTGTAGGTACTTAATTCTACAAATTTTCTTCTTAGGACTATGTACATTATGTTCCATGGGTTCTTAGTTCAGTTTTTAGCACTAATATACATGTATGTACATCTGTGTGTGTATATATACACATACACATATATTATATATATGTATAATATTTTTACTTCATGCAATTTTATTTTCCAGTTTATTATTTTTTGTTATTATTATCACTCAGTAGTGTGTTGTTTAATATCAATGAGTTTATTTACTTTCTGTAGTTTCTATTTTTGAAGATATCCAGATTTAAGCCTTTGTGGTCAGATAAAACGTTGATTGTTACTACAATTTCTTTATATTTGTTGAGATTTATGTCTTAATATGTGGTTGATGTTATAAAAACATCCCATGAGCTACTGAGAAGAATATATATTCTTTTCGGTTTGAGTGGATTGTTTGGAAGCTGTCTATTATGTCCATTTGGTTTGTGGTTTTATTTAACTACTATGTTTTTTTTGTTTGTTTAGATTTTTTTCAGATTCTCATTGCAATGCAAACCAATCATGTTTAATGACACACTTTAGAAAATAGAGCCCTAGGGAAATATTTGCGAATTTGATAGTTTACGTTGGTTAAAACTTTAATATGATTGCGGAAGCCCTTGCCCATCTTATGAATGTTAAAGTGCTGAAGGAGCGATTTCATGGTAGAAGGAACTTATAGGATGCTCCCTGGGTTAACATATTTGGTATCTGTCCCTCATCACTAGGAAATGTTCCTGTTTGAGGCTTCCTGTACAGCACAGTGTGTGGTCCTGAAGACTGAGAATACATTGACACTTGATACTGTGGGTTATCTTCTTGACCTGGGCAAAGTAAGGTCTCTGTCTCCCGCTCAAGATCTGTTCCCGCGCCTCACCCGCTATCCTTCGTGGACCATTGCTTCCGGGTAATTCTGTTTTCCGCACTCAGTCAAGAAGTGCATTCCTGACAAATTCTTTAGTTGGTACATTTGGCCCTGTTCTTCGTACTCTGCTTTCACTGACCCGGGGCCCTTCCTGTTATGGTCCCGGGTTTTCTTTAAGGGCACTGAATCTGGGCTGTTCAGAGCCAATCTGTGCACTATTTTGTGTGGAATAAATGTAGGATGCCACTGAGTACATGGGAAGCGAGTCTGTGCGCTAAAATCTCAAACGGTGTTCCCCTCAAGTGCAATTATCCCTCAGTCTTATTCCAGGGGGAAAGCCTGGGTTACGATTGGATGTTGATTTTATCCCCCACCCCACCCCCCCGTGTTGCGAAAGGATGTTGACCCTGCTACTCATGAATAAGAAGGCGGGTCCAGCAGTTTTCGCCAATCAGGGACGCTGTTACTTCCTTGCTGGAAATGTCGAATGAGGAACAAGAATATTCCGCGGTTTCCTCCCCTGGCTCCATTTTTGAATCCCAAGTAGCTTTTGTGAGGTGTGTGACAGCTGGCTTCCATCGGTGTCACCTATTCTGACGGCAGGCCCCCTCCGAGAGGACCTCTGCACGCGTCCGGAGCAGGACATGGTGAGTGCGCGGTGGCTCCTGGAGTCGTTGGTGCAGCCTGGCGCCGCCGACCGGACGGTCCCTGGCGCTGTGCAGCAGACTCAGGGGTGGAGTCTGGCACAGGCGGAGCCGGCAGCCGGCTGTGCAGTCCGCTCCTGTCCTGTTGCTGCAGTGCTGGCTTCATCCCAGTCCCCAGCCTGTCGTGGGGAATCCGCGATGAACCTCCGCCTCCGCAGACGATGCAGCCTGCAGGGCTGGAGACGCGGAGTTCGGACTGTGCACGGAAGGGACGCGGGTGGTGAACGTTGCTGCCTGTCTGCCCTGGCACACTCGTTTCCGACCTGTTTTTATCATTTCCTGTAATCGCTTTGGTGTTGTATTGGTTTTGCTCTAGGGTACTTCTCCAAACAGAAGGGGCCTGTACTGCGAGCTTATTTTTATATTTTTCGGTTTTTCTGTTCTGGAGCTCCATAGTAGCTGTCGATGACCTTGAAGTTGTGACCCTCCGTTCATCTCCCAAGTTTTGGGGTTGCGAGGAATGAGTCGCCACACTTGGTTTAATGCGGTGCAGGGGAGGAAACAGAAGGAGGGAGTCTCTGTATATTAAGCAAGAATTACCAAGTGAGCCACATTCTCAGCCCTGCTGCACATTTTTAAAAGTAGAGGGGAGGGAGGGAATCACTCTTGTGTAATTTTTTTTTTTTTTTTTTGGTTTGCTTTGGATTTTTCGAGACATGGTTTCTCTGCCTACACCTGGCTGCCCTGGAACTCAACTCTGTGCCCTGGAACTCAGTGCTGAGATGAAAGGTGTGCACCACCACCACCCATCCTCTCTTGTATGACTTTTTTTAAGATAGTAAAATGAGTTAGAAATGATCCTTTTTTCATACTCTCTTTATTGCATTTTATCTGTTTTCTCACATCTTGCCTTTATTCTTATTTAACTTAAAAAAATACTGGATCTCCTTTATTTCTACAGTGGCATTTATCATTCAATAATGTTTTATTTAATTTCTATGAGTTTGTAGATTTTCTGAAATTTCTGTTGCTATTGGCTTTCAGTCCTATTGCATTGTGATGAGCTAGAATATGAGACATGGTTTTAGGTTTCCTCTATTTGTGGAAACTTGCTTTGTATCCTCATATAGAGACTTTCCATTAGATGCATAGAAGTGTGTGTATTCTCTTGTGTTTGAGTGGAATATCCTTTATGTATTTAGCTGGTCAATCTGTTTTATGGTGTCATTGATTCTGTTTGCTTGTTTGTTTATTGTCCTTTTGAGACTCAGTCTCAATTATGTAGCTCCAGCTGGCCTCAAACTTGCTGTGTAGACCAGGATGACCTGAAATTCATGGAGATCTACCCGCATCTGGCTTCTGAGTGCTGGAGTTAAAGGCATACGAGACTGCAGCTGACCTCATGGTGCCATTAATTACAGATTTTCTCTGTTTATTTCTTGCCTAGTTCATTAGTTGACTGGTGAGTTGGGTATTAAAGGCACTGAGTATTACTGAATTTGAATTAATCTGTGACTTTATACGTAGTTGTTTTGTGATGACATTCTATTGGAGATGTGACCAATCATCTTTTCAAGCCAGACAGGAAACCAACAATAGACTAAAGTATGGCTACTACCAAAGTCCAGCTTGGTGAACCAGTGAGTTTCATTGGGGCGATTACAGAAATATAAGTGAGGAATTACAGGGTCAGAAATGAATTAAAGACAGCTGCATTACCAAAGCCAACTGTAACATGGGCAACAGCTCAGGAATGCCAGTCAGCTAGAGAGCCTTGCAAGCCTGTGGGCTGTTCAGCAGGTTGGGCACTGTTCTTTGCTGATAGTTCAGCTGATCTGACCCTTTACCAAGCAGGTTGCCTGGTCTCTGCTTTTTCCAGGCTGCTCTGCATGTAAGAAGGAACCAAACTGAGGCCAGTTTGAATAGAACTTCCATTTTGAATAAAGGGCCAATGAAGTTTCACTTTCCAAGACCTTCCTGGGTGACCCAGATTTTGTTTGGCAAGTTGAAGCATGAATGCTGGGCAAACTTCCCAGCCACACGAGTAAGAAAACCAATGAGAAGAAATATCCCTAGGAAAGCTCCTGTTCCCTGAATACTGATTGGTGGAAAATGTAACTGTAACTTGGCACAGATGTTTGTGTGTTTTATGCTTTCAAAGCTCTGTAACATTCTGCTTCAGGGTCACAGTTCTGCTCCCGAATCTGTTCTGCATCCCTGATGGATCAGCAGCAGCTTGATTACAATAAATAGTAGTTTTCTGTATTTACTTGCTGTTTGAATTATGTTGCATTCGATCAGACCGCATAACATGCTGTTCTGAACCTCTTCCAGGCAGCTCAGCTGGTCTGATAGTCTTTGTCTGGAAATATCTCTCTTTTTGAGACAGTGTCTCACTGTGTAGCTTTGACTGTTCTCCTAATCACTATGTTAACCAGAATGGACTCGATCTACCTGCCTCTGCCTCCTAATTGCTAGGATTAAAGACATGCACCATTATGTCTGATTATTAATAGCTCTTAATATTAATGTCTTAATTCCTGCTAGGTGGTAGTAGTACAGTTCTTTAATCCCAGCTCTTGGGAGGCAGAGACAAGCAGATCATTGGGTTTGAGGCCAGCCTCATCTACATAGTGAGTTCCAGCACAGTTAGGGCCACAAAGAAAAACGATGTCTTGTGGAGGGGAAAAAAATCTTAATTCCTACCTTACTGTCAACAATGGATACCATCTTAGGGTAAAAGAAATTTAAACTGGTCTTCCATGTAAATGAACCAAGAAGGCATAGCTATTGTGTATCTGATAAAATCAACTTCAAACCAAAACTAGTCAAAAGAGTGTCATTTCATACTCATAGGAACACTCCTAAGAGAAAACTGCAACACTAAACATGCATAACAATCATAGGTACCCAATTTTGTACTAGATGTAGACATACTACTAGATCTAAAATTACAGGTAATATATGACTTTTCTTATCAATTGATTGATTCATATGGATGAAAAACTAAACAAATCTGTGGACCTAATAGACATATATTAGAGCAGTCCAGCCAAACACTGAAGAATACACCATTTTCTCAGGAGCTGGTGGAACCTCCTCCAAACTCAACCACATTCGGACAAGAAGAGATCTCTACAAATATAGAGAAATGGTTTTCTGTTTGTCCAGTTGGACTAAAGGTGGTTATTATCAGCAATAGAACTACAAAAAGTACAGACTCATGGAAACTGAGCAACATACTACTAAATCATAATTAGATCAAGGAACAAATCAAGAAAGAAAATTTTAAATTTCTAAAATTAATGAAAAACCACAGTATAAACAAGTCCGTGAGACAGAATGAAGACAGTTTTAGGTTTATAGCATTGGTAGCCAATATTTTTTTTTTTAAAAAATGATACCTCACAAATTGGTAAATTAATGATGCACCCAAAGTTCTTTGAAAAATAAGAAAAAAAAGGACGTTTTCATGTTTTATTTTTTTGGAGTCAGTCTTTCTTTTTCGCTCTCCTTTTTGGTAATTCATTTTGAGACAAAATTTTGTAGCCCAGGCTGGCCTCTATCTAATGATCCCCTTGCTTTAGTCTCATGACTATCAAGATCGTAGGTATCAAGGCATCTCAGTGCTTGGCTTAACCACCTGTAATTATAGGGTCATTGGTAGCAAAGCTTAAAACTTAACAGACGACTGAGAGTTTTTCCCATGCTCATGAGTGTTTCACATAACAAAGCATTACTCCCTCCCTATTGAGGAGTGTTAGCTCACAGAATCATAGCCAATGTATACAGTGAGAGAAGGGAAAGGAACATTAGAGAGGGTCAGAAAGTGCATGAGTTGCAAGTATAGGATCAGCAGATATATCGGCAACTTCCATCCTACAATATCAGAGCACAGCCCATTGAAAATGACCTGCTTTGCTGCTTCTGTTTTTAGTAATTTTAGTTCAAGGTCTTTCTCGATCCCTCTCTTCAATAACCTTCCTAAAATATCCAAACTGTGGGTGTGAACAGGGTTGGGTCACCAATTATGGCTTGGGGCTTTGAAAGGAAGATTTGGTGGCTCAGCATGCACAGCCGGTTCTGCATTTTGACTGAAGGGGACATTTGGAAAGCCTTGTTCCTGCATATGCCCTTTCCCATCATGCCTCTGATTTTAATCATATGCCTCATTCATAGGCCAAATGGTAAAAAGACTTTCCTTAGATGCTAATTTTGAAAACACAGTGTGACTAAGGTACATGAGCCCCAAAGTGACACATTACTTTTATGCCATTTTCCACTGTCAGCAGATGTGTTTCCATGCAATTGAAAACATATAAGGGAGTAATAAGGAGTCTGAGGGGCTAACGTATTGCCATTGTTTTAAAACCTGAAACCTGATAGCGGATGTGGTCCAAGGTTACGTACAGATGATTGTTCAAACAATACTCACAGGGTGTTGGGTGCAAAACCCAAGTAAAGTCTCAGGTTGTTTCTCTTGTTCTGTCTCACTATTCTCCCAGGGCCTAGAATTAATTTCATACCAATTACAGCTGCTTTCTCATCACCTCATGTCTTAAAATTTTAAGCTTGCTTATACTCTTTTCACTTAGTGAAGGACTTCATTGTTTTTAAACATGAGTTTTTTTACGTTCCTGGTCCCAGAGCAGAATGAAGCTAGGTTCTTGAACAAAATAGCAAAGTAATGGGCTCCATCTTAGTTTGAAACTAAATCCTTCTTCTACTCTGAGTCTTCCTGATCTGTGCCTCTTCTGTAAGCTTTTCTTTCATCATTTTTGTATGTATAGCATCTACTATATATACATATCAGATTTGCTTTTTTCTAGTATGTTAATCTCTCTGTCTTGCTCACTCTCTTTCTCTTTGCCTTAAGAAAACAACCAACACACACACACACACACACACACACACACACACGTTCAAAATACCCGGATAACCTGGTCCGGCTTATTTTCAACAGTGGCCCGACTTCTTTGTGTCTGTTCCTATATTAGGGTTTTCCTATTGCTGTGATAAACTATCTAACAAAATGAATTAAGGCAGAAAGAGTTTATTTCTTCTCATAGTTGAAGGGTTCAGTAAATCGTGATAGAAACCTTAAAGCAAGAGTGTGAAACAGATAGTCAAATCATGCTGTGGGATAATCCTTTTGTATTCTGAAAAGATTTGTCACTCATTTGGTTTAATAAAATGCTGATTGGCCAGTAGCCGGGAAGGAAGTATAGGTGGGGCAACCAGACTAAGAGAATTCTGGGAAATGGGAAAGCAGAGAGGCAATCACTAGCTAGGCACAGAGGAAGCAAGATGAGAATGCCTCACTGAGAGAAGGTACCAAGCCGCATGGTTTAACATAGACAAGAATTATGGTTAATTTAAGTTGTAAGAGCTAGGTAATAATAAGCCTGAGCTAATAGGCCAAGCAGTTTATAATTAATATAAGCCTCTGTGTGTTTCTTTGGGACTTAACACTACAGGACCAAGGTATAGAAACATCTGTCTACAAAATCATAACTATAATCAAGAATGTGTGGCTGTATGTTCCTCAGTTCCCTTCTTCCTCTAATATCCTAAATACAAGTCAGAGACTGCTTCCACACACTGTGAGTGGGTTTTCTCACATTAATTCATGTAATCTCTATAATTCCTCATGTTAACCTTTATCTGCATAACCACTTAGAAGTGTCTTCCAAAGCACATGTGCTCGATGGCTCTGCATCCTGTCAACCTGTCAGGTAAAACCTCCCATTCTAATATGTGCACTGTTTTAGGAGCCCGTGACCTTTGAAGATGTGGCTGTGAACTTCACTTCGGGCGAATGGACTTTATTGGATTCTAATCAAAGGAAGCTCTACAGAGATGTGATGAAGGAAAACTTTATGAACCTGATCTCCATAGGTAAAACACACACTATGATTTCTTAGCTTATTCACTCAGACTACTGTTTCCTGCGTATGTGTATAGTGGTTTGTGGTTTGAAATATTGAAAGGGAACTTGTAGTGAATTTAATGTGCCTGGTCACATCATAAAATTTAGAATGTAATAAATTTTTATAATGTTGACTAAGTCATGATTTCTTTGGGTTTACTTCTAGAGAAAACACATGAAGAAAATGTTGAAGAGGACTACCAGAGGCTCAGGAGAAATCTAGGGTAATTTATACTCAAGAGAGAGGAATTCACATCAAACATGTGGGGATGATAAGACAACTGAGAACCTAATATATTATCCAAATATACCTAAGTATAAATTAATTCTAACATAGATGTTTATAAAACTGCAATTGGATGTGATCATTCAGAATTTGAATATCCCATCTCTGTAATTTCTGAATGTCACCAAAGTGTGCTGCAATATTTAACTATGTAAGAGATTTTTCAGTGGTTCATTACATAAAAACTTGCCTCATACTCAGAAGTATTTGATGTATTTTTTATGATGTTTTCTGAGGGTTTTATGTATAAGGGATGTTTGTTGTTGTTATCTTGGTTCTTAGAATTATTTGGTTTTTTATGCATGCTTTGTTTCATGTATGTCTGTGTTCCACATTAAATAGTACATGAATACATTTTCACCTCTTGAAGGCCAAAAGAGGGTATAAGACCTCCTCCTCCAGCTACTGCTTATCTTGGCTACTGTTAAACTGCCTTCTAGAGCAAATGCTCCTCCTGCACTGTTGAGCAAGATTACAGGATGTGGGATTTGTCTAAATGCTTGGGGCTACCCTTAGGTCTCGAATACCTGAGTGTAGTCTCAGCTGACTGGAATAAATCCTTTTAGTTGGATATTAAAAAAAAAAGAATTTAAAAAAAAGAAAAAGAGTGTGTAAGATCCCCATCCTCTGGTGCTGCAGTTACAGACAGTTGGGAGCCACCTGTGGTGCTGGGAACCAAGCGTGGTCTCTCTGGAAGACCATCAGTCCTCTAAGCGTCTGACTTACCTCTTTAGCCTCAGAAGAGCTTTTTTAAATTTCGTTTTATTGTTGAGATAAAGACCAGGACAAAAGACAACTTTACACAATGTCCTGACTTCCGTATCACAGTCCCTCATGATGGGAAATAAGGCTGGAGCTCATGCTGGTCAGGGACCTGAAGACTAGGACTGAGACAGGAATTAGAGAAGGGCACTGCTTACTGGGTTGCTCCTCAGCACTTCCTCAGCTTCATTTCGTATAGAACTCAGGCCCATATGCTAATAATGGGTGGTACCCACAACAGACTAGGTCCTCACACATCAATTACAAATCAAAAAAATGTCCCCACAGATTGCCGACAGGCAAATCTGATGGAACCATTTTCCTAGTTGATACTCCCTCTTCTCAGATTACTGTGGCTTGTGTCAAGTGGACAAAACCCTAACCAGCACAATAGACTCCTTGTGATCTTGACATACAGATTCACCACTATTACACCATAACTTTTCCTTTCCTGTTTGCCCCCATGATCTCATTTTATTATCACAGTATAAATCAGAGCATAACTGTAGGAATCTCCACAGTCTTTAAAAATTTATAAACTTTAAATATTTAGTGTCTCTTAAATCCAGAATGTCTCCTCTCTGGGCTCCTGTAAAATCAAGTATACGATATGCACTTCTTATTTCAAAAGGAAAGAAGCAGAGCACAGGTACTATTAGCTCAAAGCAAACCCATAATTCAACAATGTTAAGCACATTCTGTAGCTCAGTGTCCTTCATCTGGGCTTCACTCATGATAGTCTAGTCTCCAAAGGGCTTAGGGGACACAACTTTTCTGTCCTGCTATCCACAGCATACATCTCTTGAGTCCTAGACTGAGACTACCTCAAGTCCACAACTGCTTCTGTCCTTGGCAGTCATCCATGGTGTTGGTATCTGTCTTCTGCTAGGATCCATACAGGTCGCAGCTTCCCCTTCACTTTCTGATCTCTCTCCAGGAGCTCCAGCCTTGACATTTGGTGCACAGTCTCATCTGTTCTCAATAAACCCTTCGTTCTTGGTGTTTCCACTGCACCTGGGGTTTCACCTTCATCAGTGACAGGAGATCCTGGCCTTTCACTAAACCCTGTCTCAACTTCTCTCCACGACCCCTTCATTCCTGTACTTCTCATGATGCCAATGTGAATACTACCTGACAGAATCTTACACATTGCCATGGTTTGCTTACAGTTTGAAGTGCAACCTTGGGACCCTGTGGTATTTGTGCTGACCGAAATCTCTGAAGATGTAACCTCAATGCTTGTTATCATAGCTGACTCTTCAGCCCCAGCTGACCAGAAAGCATAGATTATTAATATAAACTATTGCATGAACCACTCTGATCGAGTCTCCAGGGTACTCGTAAATGTCCCTTTGAGAGTTTGCTTGGCTGTTCTAGAGTGGGATCACAGCTGCTGTTCCTCTACTCAGGGAAGGTCCTCCTTGACAAAGCACACAGCTGCAAGAGGGATCCACTTGGAGCTGTGAGGGTGGAAGGGGACACTCCTTCACCTTCCACATCAGCCATGATGATCAAGTGTATGACATAAGTTACAGCCAGATCACTCTCAGACATCCTTCAGAAACTTGACGTGGCCAGGCTTTCATTGTTTCCATTGCTCTTAACATTCTTACATTCCAATCTGCCAAAACCGATCGTTAATTTGAGCACTCTCTGGCTTTTCAAGTTGAAAGTTCTAAGCACTATCATGGTCCTTCCAAAAACAGCATGGTCAGGTCTGTAACATACCCCATGGACTGGGTACCAATTTCTTTTTTAGTTTGTTTTATTGGCCTGTGATAAATATCATGACCCAAAGCAACTTGGGCAGGAAAGGGTTTATTTTGGCTTACACTTTGTGTCAATGTCTATCATCAAGAGAAGCCAGGCCAGAAGCTTAAGCTGCACAGGTACCTGGAAGCAGAAACCATGGAGGAACAGTACTTACTGGCTTGCTTGCTACCTTTTCTATTCAGCTCAGGCTCACTTTCCCAGGGGAGGCACCAATCACAGTAAGCTAGGCTCTCCCATGTAACTCATTAATCCAGAAAGCAAGCCTATAGAATTACCCTCAAGCCCATCTGATAGAGCCATTTTCTCAATTGAGTTTCCATCTTCTCAAATGTCCCTATCGTGTGTCATATTGATAAAAGTCTAACCAGCAAGTTATGTATTTCAAATGCCTAAGTGGAGGCATATTTTCTAATGTCATGTGATTATTATTCTTTTGTACTAACATCAGAAATTTGACTGTTCATAAATCTTTTATGAGTGTGTGTGTGTGTGATGTGAGTTCATGCCACACGTGTGAGAAGGGTTTATAGAGGCAGAAGAAGACTATAGGCCCCTTGAAGCTAAAGCCACTGTGAACCCATAGGTCTTCGGTTTTCTGGAAGAGGAAGAGGTGCTTTTAGCACCTGAGGTGTCTCTCCAGATTCTTTATAATTCTTACGAAAATAAAGTTAATAAATTATTTTCTTATCACAGGATCTTTATATGTGGCCCTTATTGGTCTTAAATTTCGAGTCTTTCTGCTCTTGCCTCTGAAGTACTATAACTATAGTGGACCACTGGAACCAGTCACCAACACTTTCTTTGCCTAAATAAAAATATACCAGCACCAATACGTTCTTAGGCATCAAAGGATACATTTATTGGAAAATACCTTCTCACACACTAAAGAGTTTATGCTGGAAAGAAATCATACTAACGTAAACATTATGAAAAGGCCTTCACTATTTCCAGTTCCAATAATTCTCTTCTTTTTTTTTTTCAGAACTCAGGTGGTTGAGAAAGATGGTGAATATGAACATGATAGTCAGTGTGAAAAAAACCAGCGACAGATTCCAGAGCCTATTGTTAGTGAGGCCATGCCTCCTTCTATAACATTATATGAAAACAGTAGCAGTTTGTGTATAAGAAACATCATTGGTAATTTGCCCTCAAATGTGCACCTCAGTGATCAAACTGAAGATAAACTATTTGAGTATAAGGAGCCTGTGGAAAAGGCTTTTAAACATGAAAAATTTTGGGAAGATATGGGTCAATCTGAGCCATTTCAGGTACATGAATGTTCTAAAGAAAAATCCTCTGAATGTCAGCAATGTAATACGGCTTGTGGGAGTCTCCATTGTGATCAGCATCAGGAGGGGACTGACACCGGAAACAAGCACGAAGAGAACGTTGTTACAAACTACACACATGGCCAGATAGACGAAAGTATCCATACTGAAGTAAAACCATTTGTATGTAAGCAGTGTGGAGAAGCGTTTGTCAATTCCAGTCACCTTATCAGCCATGAACGAATTCATATTGTGGAGAAGTGTTATATTTGCAAACAATGTGGAAAAACATTTAGATATTTGTCATGCTTTCAAAAACATGAAAGAATTCACAGTGGAGAGAGACCGTATGCGTGTGAGCAGTGTGGGAAAGGATTTATCCAGTTGAAATACCTTCTCATGCACCAAAGAAGTCACACTGGAGAAAATTCTTATGAATGCAAACATTGTGAAAAAGTCTTCACTATTTCCAGTGCTGATGATGTACTTGAAAGAATTCACTGTGGAGAGAAACCGTATTCATGTAAGCATTGTGGAAAAACTTTCACTAGTCCCAATGACTATAATAGTTGTGAAAGTATCCACACTGGAGAGAATCCCTTTGTATGTAAAAAATGTGGGAAAGCCTTCAAACGTTTGGGTCATTTTATGAATCATGAAAGAATTCACACTGGAGAGAAGCCTTATGCATGTAAGCATTGTGGGAAAGCCTTCACCAGTTCCAGTGACCGTAATAGCCATGAAAGAATACACACTGGAGAGAAACCCTTCATTTGTAAAACATGTGGGAAAGCGTTCAGTCGTTCTGATTATCTTATCAATCATAGAAGGATACACACTGGAGAGAAGCCTTATGCATGTAAGTATTGTGGAAAAGCCTTTGCCACATCCAGTGACAGAAACAGCCATGAAAGAATTCACACTGGGGAGAGATCCTTTCTATGTAAAAAATGTGGAAAAGTATTCATTCTTTCTGGTGACCTAATCAAGCATGAAAGGATTCACACTGGAGAGAAGCCTTATGCATGCAAACATTGTGGAAAAGCTTTCACTACTTCGAGTGCTCGTAACAGTCACGAAAGAATTCACACTGGAGAGAAGCCTTATACATGTAAACATTGCACAAAAACTTTTACCACTTCCAGTACCCGTAACAGTCATGAAAAAACTCACACCGCAGAGAAGCATTTTGCATGTGACCTTTGTAGGAAAACCTTCAACAGTCAGAGTTCCTATTACACTCATAAAAAAATTCATTCTATGCAAGAGAAACTTTATGTATGTAAACACTGTGGAAAAGAATTCACTTACTGTGGTAATTTCCTCAAGCATGAAAGAATTCACACTATGGAAACCTTGTCCACGTGAGCAACCTGTGGTTGTGTTCCACAAACCGTCACAAATCCACATATGGGTTCATAGTTCAACTATAAATGGTGTGACGCTCTGGCTTGCCAACTTATGAGTTTAGATGACCCTGAGACGGCTCAGTAAAGGGTCTTTTGGGTAGCCTGATGATCTCAGTTTTAACTGTGGAAGTCAGATGGCAGAAATAGAGAGCCATTTCACAAAAGTTGACTTCTGAAGTCCACATGCGCACCATTATATGTGTGTGCAAACACAAATGAAGTAAATAAATATAGTGCTAAAGTAAGAAAAAAATGAAATTTTGATGTGAAAAGAAGCAGATATGACCAGAAATAGTGTAATTTTAGCCCTAGTATACAAACATTCAGGATAAAATCCTGCTCTGATACACATTTTAATGCCTGCTTATTATGGCTAGGATAGGAGGCTAGCAAAATAAAGTATCCAATACAGGACATTTGACTGCCACTTGGAAATTTTAAGGTGAACTTGTTCCAACCAAATGAAAATTTTAAAAAAATTAAGAAAGCTATGATGATTTTCAGTTGAAATAAAGCTTATAAAACATTTTCATGTAGTTAAATCTTATAAAGAGAGTTTATGTTTGTGTAGAATATTTTACAAATAATCCGAAGAAAGTACAATAAAAATTTTAACATTTTGATTTTTGGTCCATTTCTATACAAAACTTATATTTTTGCCTTTTTGTTTTTAAGCTTGGAGTTAAGTTAATAATATTGGCGTAATTTTCTGGTCTGCCATTCCCAACACTGGGAAGACAGATTTCTTAGAAGTTGTGTCCAGCAATAGCTAGCCTTTGAAGAAACTGAAGCGTGGAGAGATGGCTCAGTGATTAAAGGCATTTGCACCTCTCCTGCGGGGCTTTCTTTGGAATCCAGCATGTGTATTGGGCGGCTTTTAGCTAATTTTAACTTTAATTCCAGAGTTTTCAAACACCTTCTGGTCCTCTCCAGGTACCTGTACAATTATGTACATACACAAATAAAAAATATGAAAAGAAAAAGAGAATAAATTGGTGCCTCAGAGAGATGGCTCTGTAGCTAAGAGCACTGACTTCTCTTTCAGGTTTTTCTGTGTCTAGTAGAAGCAGAAAATTTTTTGCTTCCTATTTTAATATTTTCTGTGTCCCTTACATAGCAAATTATTTTTTCAACATACCTATTAGCTCATTGGTAATTATGTTTATGTAAAAAAAATTCTAAATGACTTTTTCTTTTGGTCTTTCAGGAGAGAGTTTTTCTTTGTAGAACCTGGAACTCTCTCTGTAGACCAGGTTGAATTCACAGAGAACCACATGACTCTGCTTCCCATGTGCTGGGATTAAAGGTGTGTGCCATCACTGCCCAGCCCTGAGTGACATTTTTATAGATTATTATTTTTTAATTTATTATATTATTTGTGTGTGTCTCTCTGTGTGTGTGTGTGTGTGACTGTGTTTGTGTGTGAGTATATGTACACGCATTTAAGTGGGGTCTGAAGAGGGCGTAGGACCTCCTGGAACTTGACTCAGCTTCAGTTTTAGCACCATAAAGTGCTAGGAACCAAACTCTAGTCCCCCTTAAATACAGCAAGTGCCCTTAATCTTTGTGCTCTCTCTCCGGCCTCTATAGTAACATAGATTCTATGTGTTTTATTAATGTTTCTCTGTACTTGAATGATTATATTTTTAAAAGCAGTTTTAATTGATCATCTTACTTTTTTTGATGGTTTCATGTATTTCTATAATAAATATTTGTATTTTATCTTCCCAGTTCCCTTCTTTCTTCTTTCATCTTCACTCTGTTACTTCAGTACTTTTCAGTAGATATACTCCTTAATTTATGAGTATGAACATGAGAATTTTCCAGGTATTTTAACATGACCATTTATCAGGACAATAGCATGTAACTGCTTAGCACTGGTGACCTGCCCAGCCTCAGGCTCTTAACGAGGTTTCAAGAAACCAGACTGGAGAAATAACTGTGCATCTAAGAGTATTTAACTAATTTTCCAAAGGCTTCTAATTCACTCAGTACCCATATTTGGTGACTTACAATGACTTGTATCTTCCAGGAAATGAAGACTCTCTCTGGACTCTGAAGATAACTACAAACACATAGTGTACACTCAAACACAAAATATGATTTATTTCTGCATGTGTAGCTGGTCAAAAGGCCAAGAAACAAAGGGTGGGTCATCCTCATAACTTTCATGTTTGTTTCTGCTGTTCTCTACAGACATATAATGCAAATGGTCTTTTTGTAGTCCCACTACAATTAAAGATTAAAGCTGACTTTGGAGTCGGTGTGTTGCTCTCTCCTCTAAACCCAAGCATGCTTATTAAAGCTAAATTCAGAATCTCTATCTCATGTCAAAAGAGACAAGATAGGGGATGTAGTAATAAGAGTGGCAGGGGGCTGCGTCCCTGGCACCCCAGCCGCCTGGCTAGCTTATGCCCCGAAATAACAACACACAAACTGTATTCATTTAAACACTGCCTGGCCCTTTAGCTCTAGCCCTTACTGGCTAATTCTGATATCCCAATCAACCCATCTCTAATAATCTGTGAGAACTGGTCTTACCGGGAAGATTCTAGCCTAGTCCATCCTGGGTCGGAGCCCGAGAGCGGGGCATGGTGTCTCTCTCAGGTGTCTGCTCCCGAGAGGAGAGCTGTGGAGTCTGAGCTCACTTCCTGTTCCTCCCAGCGTTCTGTTCTGTTTACTCCTCCCACCTATCTTCTAACCAATAAAATGGGCCAAGGCAGTTCCTTTATTAGCCAATGACCTTCCTCCATCAAGGGACAGAAGAAAAACAAAAATTTAAGGATTATTTTTGTTACTAATCTCATAATCTTTTGGTGTGTTTTTTTAATCTTTTGGTTTTATATTGACCCTTTGGCAGCTTTTCTTTATATATATATATCACTTTTGTCATGGTCTACTAATTCTATATAGACTACTAATTCTAGAAAAAGGTTTAATCTACCTTATTGTACATGATTTTAACTTTGAGTATCATTTTTCTGCACTGATGAGCATACCTAACAGTGACCTTTGAAATCTCCATAAGGAGGACGGTGCCTCATAATTATGACACCTCCAGGACTATAACACCACTAAGCTGAAAAATGCCACTTGAGGATCAGCTTTGGACTACAAAAATAATTTCCAGATGGCTAGCTGAGATGATCCAGACTGACAGACTTGAGACAAGCCCTGCATTATTCCATTATGCATAGACTGAACAAAGAAATGATAGAGCTACCTCTCCTAGGACTTGACAGTTAACTGAAATTTTTCTTTTCAGGATTCCCTAAAGATGCCATCTCCCCCAGACAGCTGGAAGTAAATTTATGAATATGATTCCCACATTCTTAAGAGGTGTAGGGTGGGTGTTTTTGTTGTTGTTGTTGTTCAGTGGATTATGGATATTTGTCATTGTTTAGGGAGGCTATTTAACATTCCTTGTAAGAGATCTTCTACTGATAATTTTTAGCAGGCTGAAAATTTTAAGTAGGCATTGTGAAAGTAAATTTCTCTCTGTCTTTTTCTTCTAAAAGTATAGTGAAGAGACAGTCTTTTAAATCAATAAATAAAAGAGGCCATCCTTGTGGCAATAGAGACAGCAAAAGAATGCCAGACTGTAGAGAGCCCATTGACTGAATCACTATTTTAACAGCTCTTAAATCTCTTCCACTCTCCATTTTCCAGATTTCTTTTTAAATACAAAAAATACAGAGGCTGGTTGTTTCTTCAATATGCTGAGTATCTGGTTGTTCCTGTGTTAGCTGTTCTAAAGCCTGCAGTTTCTCTATTGTTAAAGGCCATTGCTTAATCCATACAGGTTTGTCTGTCAACCATTTTAAAGGTAGGGCTGTTGGTACCTTTGAAAGATCAGCAGCTGTTGGACCTTGTTCTTGTGGACCTTGGATGGTCAGGGACTGTTCTTTATAAAACCTTCTAATATTCTTCCCAGAAACATATGGATTGTTTCAAAGGCTTAGGGAATATTGCACTCGGTATGCCATTGCTGTAACAAATCATATCCCCACAAATTCATTGCTATGTTAGCCTCATATAGCTTTAATGTTCTTCTCTGTCCTTCCAGCTTTATACATTTGACCCATCTTGCACTCTCTTTTATTTAAGATAAAGTTCCAATCCCTAAAAGCTGAATATGTACATTCTGAAGAGGCCAATTTAGATGCCAAGATTCTGATGAAATTATTGTCACAACTGCATCTGTGTACTAGACCTTCAATGATAATATCATTTACTCGTAAATTTAATTTTGATCTTTGTTTGTTTATAAAAGTTTTCCAGGATACCTTTGTTTGTTTATAGAAGTTTTCCAGGATACTTGCTTTATTGTTTCTCCTGAATTTTTTTTGTTCTTTCTTCTACAGCTATATGGTTTCTTACAATAGGTATTGGGTTCTTTAATTGCTCTGGGAAGGAATTTCTTCTACAATGGCATGAAAGGACTGAACCATATAGACAGGGACCATTCATTCATTCCTGACCACCCAGACCCAACTTAATAACAGAGAAACTATATTAATTTACAACACTGATTTGCCTATTAGCTTAGGATTCTTATTGACTAACATATCTTAAATTAACCCATTCTTATTTTATATTTTACCATGAGGTTTATTTTACTCTGAAGGTTTCCAGGTGTTTGTCTCCTTCAGTAGCTACATGGTGTCTCTTTGACTCTGCCTTCTTTCTCCCAGCATTCAGTTTAGTTTTTCCTACCTAGCTCTATTCTTCCCTGCCACAGGCCCAAAATAGTTTAATTAATAACCAATGGTTTTAAAACATATTCATAGCATACAGAGGGGAATTTTATATTACCTCCCCTTTTCTGTCTAAATAAAAAGAAAAAAATTTAACTTCAACGTAGTCAACAGGAAGTGCATTGTAAGCAACTTTCAAAACTCTAGAATTTATAGATACATCTCGCTGGCTGGACAATCACCCAAAGTTCTTCTGTAT